ATTATTTGAATTATTTGAATTCTCGGGCCTCCAAAATAATTCAAATAATTCAAATAATTCAAATAATTGAATTATTTAAATTATTTGAATTATTTGAATTATTTAATTTATTTATATATTAGCTAATTTAAATAGGACGTCAAATAGACCCTAAAGGTATCTCTATCATATATATATACATATGTATGTGTATATATGTATATGCATTTGCCCGAAGAGCCTGAGCCCATCAACCCTGAGGTATGCTGACGGCATGGAGGCTGCGGACTGAGGCACCTTCAGCTAGCTTTGCCAAACCTTGAACCTGCAATATCTCAATACTCGGACCTCTGCGATGGGCATCAATCGAAGGCGACCGGCTTTGCCTAAGGGCTGGTACGTAGTATTAGTACTATCATTTCTAGTCGTATTACTACTCTAGGTACTACTAAATACATCCTTTTTCTTCGACATCCCATGCTCGGACCGTCGCAGCTGTTCCTGCAAGCAATGAAACCTGCGTTGCCAGTGAATTGCCGGTCGATTGCCATTTGTCCAGCAGTGATGCGCCCGGCCTGAAACACTTCGTGACCCTTGGCTTTACAAGTCGTGCGCATGTATACAAGACGCGGCCTGAAACGGGTTGAGATCACAATTTGACTAGGAACGTGCCAAAGGCAAAATGATCGAGAATATCTTGCGCTCTCCAAGGTGGTTGCAGAAGACGGCTGCTCCAGTGCCGCTGTGCTTGATGAGCCAAGCCGCATGATCAAATAACGCATGGATGGATGTAAGCTTTTCATACACGTAACATGCTGACATTGCTTGCACAAGTGGGCGCTTCCTAAGATTAGTGGTGCCGTTTTGAGACCGCCCATAATAAGGAGTATTGTAGTGGGGTCTATTTATTTTGGGAAAATACCAAGTATTTACAGAATTGAGCCTTGGGTTGTTGTCAGCTGGACGGAGTTGAGCCCAAGCTGTGTAGCTTGGGCACCGCAGGAAAGAGCAAAGGAAGGAGCTGATAGTGTCCCCAGGCCTAGGACTAGGGCCATGGAGCAGCCTACCAAGTTTGTCGCGCGTTTTTTGCTTGCAATTTTGGCGCAGCCATGCTTCAACGCCCGAGTTTTGGGAATCAGGTTGCAGCCTTCCAGCCCGGTGTATGGCAACCGGATTTGTTTGCCCAGGCTGGCCAGGTGGGCACCCTCATGTTCTCGATCGTGATGATGAGGTCGAGCATCCAGGCCGTTGTGATTTCCAGAGCCCGTGAATTGTCAAAGAATGCAGGTATTGGATCCCACTGCGAAGTTGTAATTGCGCACATGTGTTCTTTTCTGGAGTAGGCATATGCTCAGCTTGTAGGGTTCCAAGCCCTCATGCTAACATTCTGAAATGATATGGAACTCGTCCTGGCTATCTGCAGTAACAGTAGGGCTTGCTAAACAAGCTGCACGATCCCAGAGCAGCATTGTTTTTGTTAGTGCTGTTCGTTTAACCCAAAGCATCCGCAGATGCATCTCCACATGTTGCGGCGAAGTAGCGCACAGCACGTCTTGAAGGGGATGGCGGACGGCATTTCTCAGGAGTTTCATCAGTCCCCTGCAGAAACTTTCATGTCCGGACTTTCCAGGCATTGCGGTGGACGCACGCGCAGCTACAAACAAGTGTGGTTGGTCTATCCATTCTCTCATTCCATTTTTTGCAACCCCCCGCATCTTTTTTTCGACCCCATGGGGCAGCCCCAGGCCAACCCCCCTTGCCGCGCCCGCAGTTGTTCCCTAAGCTGTGTCTCACTTCTCCGTAACGTTTTGCATCCTGGCGTGGGCTTGATTATTTCAAAGTCCAAACTCGGTACTTGCCGTACACACAGCTCAGGACAGGATCGTCTTGTATTTTTTGCACAGTTGCTTCCCACATCAAGTGTATGAGATGAACATTTAGGCCCCAACCCCTGAGCCAGATGTCCTAAATCCCAAGTTCTATGCATTCTTAATTTGTGTATCCTGTTATACCCTAAGCCCTAAGTTCTAAAACCTAAAGCTCCAAACCCAAAGCCTTTTCAGACCCGTGGGAGATTACGGCCCGAAGACCCTGTGCTGCTCCACCTCACCCCACAGCCTCAGCCCTAAACCCTAAACTTTTTGAAGCCTGATGGCGTAGGCTTGAAGCTCTAAACCCCACAGCCCTGCAGCCCTACACCCTCCACCCTGAACGAATTAATGGCTAGAGGAAAAACAGCCGTCACAACAATGGAGATATCAGTAAACAGCGATAAGAATGACAGTGGTAATGGCAATGGTTGTGAGAATAGCATTGATATTTGTTTTTGTCCGAAATCTTTCAACTCAAGCCAATAGATCCCAAAAGCTTGCTAGCTTAGCTCCTAAACTTGAAACCCCTAAACATAATTCCAAACCCCCTGAGGTCCTAAACTGTACGCTCTGAACCCCTAAGCCTAGACAGGTGCGTGGCTTTTCTGTGGTTGCCAAGCGCAGTGAGAAAGATGTCAAGGCTGCGAACCTGTTGTAAATTTGAGGGGTTTCCCAAAACTGGGGGTACCTTTTTGGGGTCCCGTAATAAGGACAATAGGCTTTTAATATACGAGTCTATACTGAGGCGGCCTATTTTGGGAAATTACCATATAGGATGTTTGAGGTTAGGGTTTAGGGTAGTAGCAAGTTGACAAGAACAAGAATAGGAACCACAAAGCAGCACTGATGGTTTATGAGTTTATGGCGTACACTTGCAGTGTGGGCCGTCGGAATAAACAAATCTTGCACTCTAAACGCTTGCTACTATTTTGGCTTCACATTTCTTGCATAGCTATGGTATACGGTGCCTCAAACAGATTTCAAAATGATGTCGTCAGTTTTCAAGCTTGGACTCCGTTCTCCGTCCGCATTTCAATTTTTTTATCCATATGTTTCTCGATTATTGGTAAGCACTTAGGCCAACTTAGGCCCTTGCAATACGGGTATAGGTTACTATAGGTGTGGAAATCTCAATCACAGAAGACGTGGATTGCAGTTTTTGGGGCTCTGGGTGCCATGCCGAAGCATGAATAGTTTGTTCATTCGTATTCCTTGTCTGCATTCTTGCCCGCTTCAAAACCCCATCCCGAACAATGAGACCATAAAAAGGTGGAGGTGTTGTTTTGTAGCATTGCACCAACGCCTTTAGCCCTTCTTTCTCGTCCCTTGTGCCATCGGAACACCACCCTTACGCGGTTTCAATATACTTTTAACGGAAATGTCGACAACCCTTATTGAAAATGGTGGTTCCTAACGCAAATAGTCGTACAATGCCCTTTATATCAGTTGTAGAAGGTATACCAGAAATAGACAAAAATTCTGCCCAAGCCTTAGTTGCTTGAACTTTGGTGCGCTACACCACGCACCGTACATCTCGATTGCCGAGCCAAAGACCCTGAACTTCAAATGTTAAAAAAGCTCGCCGTGGTATCCGAAACCAATGTATCCGAAATCCTGAGCATATAGTATCCGGAATCCAAGACCACAGCCCTGGAGATTTTTTTAGAATTCCTTAGACCAGAAAACCTGAAGCCTCAACCCTTGGCGCTAAGATTCTAAAGCCTGACATTACGCCCCAGGATCAAAGCCGTATAATCACTGAATTTAGGCGAATCCTGAAGCCGTAAACCCCAGACCTGAAATCCTTAATCCCTATTTCCTAAACCCCAGAAACAGTGAGCTGTAGCATGCTGGTAAGGCTTTGATGGTGGAACGCCGCGTGGATGCGCCATCGGATGAGCCCAGGGCAGAACAGGTTAGTCGGGTTGCTGAAGAAAGCGAACCCTCACCCCGAAAAGGGCTCAGGATCTTGGGAAAACGTGCTAACCCGAAAGCCGGTCTACAAGAATTCTTAAGTTGTTTTCCGACTCTTCACGTGGATTCTAGGGGCCTTACTAGGGCAATGGCCGTGAAACAAATAAACAGAACAGGGTTGAAGAAATGAGACCGAACAGTACAGTAGGCGTTTTGGCAATCTCAGGGGACTGTGTTGAAGGGCAAGCAGTCATCCACAGGAAGCACGACTTTCCGCGAAAGGGACTCAATATCAACGGAGGCGAAGGCATTCATGGCCAACGACAATTTTTGCAGCCCGTCTTCAGCGTACTCCTGTCAGGTCATTTATCTACACCTCACTTGAACAATTCCGGTTCATTTTGAGGCGGGGCTCCTTTCAAAGTAAGCCCTTGGCACTCTTTCGCAGGTGGAGAGGCACTGGAACCGCCACGTGACCAACGAGGCTGCGGTCGTGCGATTCGAGAGTTTAGGAGTTTAGTGTTTCGGAGATTTAAGAAAGGAGTTTAGGGTTTTGGGATTCAGGCTTTATTTGCTGCAAGGTTGAAGCTTAGGGATCTATTGCAGGTGTAGGGTTGATGGGTTGAAGGGTTTAGGGTATAAGGCCCTTCCCCGGTAGAGACTTTTGTGGTTTAGGGTTATAGGGTTTAGGGTACACCACATAGAACATGTCAGAAGACCCAACCCTCCGAAGAATCACGCCTCAAATACCAAAACTATAACCTAAGCCCTGAACATTACCTATGGTTAGCAAGGAGTGATTTTAACAAAGTAGGAAACCATTATATTGTTGGGGATTTTTCAGGACCCTTAAATCCAAACTTCCTACCACATCAATAGGGTTTAGGGTTAAGGGTGTTTCTTCAAGTAGCCTCTTAAGTGGGTGTTTCTCGCAATAGCCTGATCTAGAACCCTCCCCAAAAATCCGTTAGACTCACCACTTTCCAGGGAAATCTTAGGTGGAGATCCTCCCTAAACCCCAAAACCCTAAATCCCAAACC